CCACGAAAGAAGAGTCTCTTTCTCTGACTCTCCTGTTGGCCCCAGGCCTCCCAGAACTGAGGGACAGGAGGCTCCTAAAGGGAAGGGTAAAGGCAAAGGTAAACTGCCGAGCAGCAGCAATCCGGGTGGTCAGAGTTTCTATCCGTTGGCTGCTAAACCTCAGAAGCCTGCGCCTCACAAACCTCAAGCCCCTGGCGCTGCGAAACCTCCTTACCCCAAGCCTCCCAACCAGAACTCCAGGCCTGTCGTCCGTGTGGTTGCTTCTGAGTGGAGCTCCCCACCTCAAGTTTGTACTGTCGGTGCCACTCGCAAGGCGCTGGAGGAAGGCAGCGAGCTCCCAGGCAACCTTGTCCTGTGTGACACTCCCGAAGCTGCCTCCAACCTCCAGGACTTGTGGGCCGCTTACCAGTGTGTGGCTCCCCTCACTGTTGCGCTGGTCGTGAAACAGGAAAGCATTGTCTCCAGTAAAAGCAAACAACTTGAGAGCACTGTTTTCAGTAAAGGCACGCAGTGTGCGTCTCTTGTGTCTGTTGGCAGACAAGGTAACCTCAGGAACGAAGTTGTCAGAGTTGTTTGCTCCCAGCTCAGCGAGCAGGATGGACCTGTTCCTAGACGGGCAATCACTACAAAGATCCCTGTGTCGTCGGTGATCTCTAAAGTTACGGTGCGGCTCCTTGCGCCGCAGTGTTTCCGACAATTCGTTGCTGGCGTTGAGAGTGAGGATGATCCGCGGGTCATAATCAGTGAATGGGCAAAGCTCCTCGGGTGTCCCTTGGCGGACCTGACAGGGGGTACGTGGGAACGGATCAGTGACAAATCTGGCAGCGTGGTGGTAGGGCATCTCCGAGTATCCACCTCTCTTGCTCAAAAGATTGTCAACCTGAGCGGCTCGCGCGCTCTTTTCGCGACTAGGCTCGACAAAACCGCTGAACGCCCTCAGGTCGCGTGGGTCCCCAAGCCTAAGGACGAATCTGCTGAGGACTACCTTCGAAGGGTCGCTGCTGAAGCTCAGACGCGTCGCGTCTCTCAAGTGTTCAGACAGGGAGGGATGTCCAATTTGGGCCTGTCTGGAGTCCCTGCTTCGGAGTTTGACAAGTCTGTCGTCAAGCAGTGGCTCTTGCACATGGCCCCTAAGAGTTGGACTCAGGTAGATATCTCGGCTTTCTTGCTCAGTCAAGGCTGGCGCCAGGTACAAGTGATCACTAGACGTAAAAGTTGGACAAAGGGCAACCCCCCTGAATGGATCTTTCAAGGTCTCAAACCGGATGGGAGCCCTACTGATCAAACTACCTGGTTCTATGCTGACGAGAGCACGCAGCTCTCGGTGGGACCGGTGCCTCCTCGCAAGCGCGCCCCTGCTGAAGCTACCAGTATCCCAGGCCCTCGGAAACGCTGGGTTGACCAGGATGGCAAGGCACCTCACTCAGAAGCCTCCCCTACTGAGGCTCCCAGGCTTGGAGCCTTCTCCTCTGCTGCTCAGGGGACAGTGAGGACCGGTGACGTTGACGCTGGGGTCAGCCAACGAGAACAGCAGAAGCTCAAACGTGATGTAGCTCCGGGTGAGGGGCCCATGGACTGGGATGGCGATGATGAAAATCCTATCTTTCATCCCTCCCTTTTTCTTGCTGCCGATACTCAGATTGATGAGGATGTTGATCTCATGGATGATGATGAACTTGCGACGCGAGCTGACAAGAGGCTCCTTGACGAACTTCCTGCTGAATGGGGCTTCCGGGAAGTCGGAGGTAGCGGCGACTGCGCCTTCCGGGCAGTCGCTTGGTCTTTGTCGCGAGCCCAGGGCAAGAAGCTCGAGGACCCTGAGGCCTTGCAGCGCGAGGCCGCGCGCCTTCGTTTGTTGACTGTAGGCCACATCAGCAAGCATGCTGCTCGCTTCAGTGAATCCTGGGCGGCTGATCCGGAGGAAACCAAGTCGGATCGGGCAGGTCAGACTGCCTCCATCAGTACTTTCGCGGAATACAAGGAAGCGGCGGCCGGCAGGCACTTCTATGCAGACGGAATCATGCTGCAGGCCTTGAGTGAACGCATCGCCTGTCCCCTAGTCATCTGGGCCTGGAACCCAGAGCTTGATGTGTGGAACAGAAGTGTTGTTGCTCCGTGGTTTAATCCTGACAACACTGCTGGAGTTGGTAACAAGAGCTCGCCGGTTGTGATGGCTTTGAGAGGCAAACACTATCGGGCTCTCGAGTCGTCGTCCACGTCTGGTAGTGTTTTCCCTTTGGCTTGGCTTCGTCAAACAAGTACGAGACCCAGAGCTGAGCTCCGTGGGGGGGGCAAGATTCTGCCTCGTCCCGAGGCCCGTCCTCTGTCTCCTGCTCTGAGTAGCAAAACCAAGGCTTCCTTGTCGGGAGGGCTCTCCCTTCC